TGCTGAATGCTGCAAATGTGACAAGTGTAAACCAGCTTCAAAGTTCTGTTCTCACTAGAGTCCTTTGGCAACTTCCTGTAGCTGAAAGACCAATCTGTTGCGAAGCCAGTACAGTTGCTGCTTAAGATTATACCCACAGGTTTAAGGGTTTCCTTCTGTTACATTACTTATTTATCATTGCTACTGATCTTTAACAGCAGGGTGGAGTGATTCCTCGCAGGTGAGCAGCCCAGAACGGGACAATGAAACCTTTAACAGTGGGGACTCTGGACAGGGAGACTCCCGCAGCATCACCCCTGTTGATATGCCAGTGACAAGCCAAGCTGCCACCATACTACCAGTGCACGTCTACCCCCTGCCACAGCAGATGAGAGTTGCCTTCTCTGCTGCTAGAACATCTAACTTGGCCCCTGGAACTCTAGACCAGCCAATTGTGTTTGATCTGTTGCTGAACAACCTTGGAGAAACTTTTGATATACAGCTTGGTAGGTTCAACTGTCCAGTGAACGGTACATATGTCTTCATCTTCCACATGCTGAAATTGGCTGTAAATGTTCCCCTGTATGTGAATCTAATGAAGAATGAAGAGGTCCTAGTGTCAGCATATGCAAATGATGGGGCTCCTGATCATGAAACAGCTAGTAATCATGCAGTCCTGCAGCTGTTCCAGGGAGATCAGATCTGGTTGCGTCTGCATCGGGGAGCCATCTATGGAAGCAGCTGGAAATACTCCACCTTTTCGGGATACCTCCTTTATCAGGACTAAAATCCAGTGTGATGTTTACAAAAGAGCTGCTCCAAACACCTTGGTGGAGGGGGGTGGGACTAGCTTTGCACTTACTACTGACTTTATAGAAGATATGTGGTTCCATTATTGGGGGAAATGATGGTCCTGTTGTGCAAGGTGAAATCATGGAGTTGGGGTACTGAATCAGCACTAATTTGGCACTTTATCAGTTGTGATGTAGCCTTGCTAATAAAGCTGTGAATGTATATTGTTTGCACTTACCCTAAACTGTGTTAATGTCCAGCTTACTACACTATTGATTGCCTCAAGTATGGGCTATTCACAATGCCTTGTTGTGCCTCAATAAAACAAGTTAATATGCATTTTAGTATTAATCTTGCTAGTGGTCTTTATTTAAAATACATCAAACTGAGCTTTATTCCTGATGTGGGGTGCATGTGCATGTTATTACATAGAACTTCATGTCATATTTCAATAATTCAGGGTAAATTGTGTAGTTCAAATTGGATGACTTGTTTAGTTATGTGTGATGCCATTCTCAAGAGTGTTCCCTGGATCAAAATGAATTCAAGGTTTAGTTGAATACCTGCTTTTTAACTGAAATGTCAAAAATCAGAAGTGAAATGCTAAATACTTCATTAGGACTACTTATTTTAAATGCACATCCTGTTAAAATCTAGCTTTTTCACTGTTGCCGAAGGAGTGATGCACTTCATTCATGAGAGAAGCAGCAATATATTTATTGATATAAAACAGTGATTTCTCGAAGCTTGATAGTATATGTGACAGGGGTTTAAAAAGATTTGGATATTTACTGCAGAGGCGACAGCCAGACAAAACCGTCAGGGAGACCCCGTTGAGTAATGAGGTTCAGAGAGGACCCCCTTGCTTTCTGAACTCCTCGGTTTAGTCTAGGTGTGGCTGGATCCAGTCCTACTCCCAGGCTCAGTCAAGGGCTTATGTCTAAAGGATTATATGTGCATGATCACTCAAAGAGATAATCTTAGTGAAGCTTTAAAGTTTAGCATGCTGTTAGTCATTTACTGAGGATCTGTTGCGGCAAGGGATCTCTCAGCCTCAAGGAATAACCTTGAGGTGTCCCCACTCAAGGGGAGATTGTGGTGTGCAGCCTGCTGCTGTGCAGGAGAGCTCAGAGGGCTCTGGGACTGTTCACTATTTATGGGGGTAAGATCACTGACTTATATTTGCTAGTTTGTTCCAAAATTGGCCTGAGTATCAGTACTATGGTTAAGTGGGTGCATTGACCAAGTTAGCCTTTGGTTATTGTGTTAAAGTGGTTTTGGGGAAGACAGGTAAGCTGGATGCAGCCATTATGACTCCCACTAGTCGTTATCATTTGAACAGGGTTATGGGAGATAAAGGTCAGTTTTGGGGAGTTAGCTGAAATTCTTAGACCTCGAACCAGTCACTGGAGGGCTTTCTGATGCTGTTTGTTATGCAGATCTTGTTCAGCTGGAATATATTTTGAAGTTAAAACGGACCCTTGTAAAGTGCAAACATGCATGGCTTCCCTCCCCCATAAGACTGGAATTAGGGTTCTCTCTTTCTTTCAGAGAATTGCAGAGTGACTTGATATTTGTAGTTGAAAGCTGGTGCTTGCATTTTAAATCAAACCTGAATAAAAATGCTGGGAAGCATTTATCAAATTTCTTTCTTACAGCTAAAGGGCTGTGTGACCAGTCTTCGGCAATCTCTTGTGGCCTGAGACCTGAAGAGTGATGATGTATGTCCTTGTCTAAGCTGCAGCATGTCAAATATTATACAGCATTTCAATGTTTAAAGTCTGAACTAGTAAGAAGACTGTAGGTCACTGGCATGCTCTACTTTTAAAACCTTCAATACTTGTTTTGGGGTTTTTTTTAGTGGTGGGAAGTATTTTATCAGTTTACTAATGTAGCTAGTGGAAAAACCTGACTGGTACATCTAAGGATGAAGTAGAAGTAAGCGAAGCAAGAGCAGTTCAGCTAACCACTTCAGTGAAAGTGGAAAAAAAACCACAAAGAAATGGAATATACTTCAGCTGTTCCTTGGTAACTGGTTTCAGAACTTCCACCTTTAAATAGTTCTCTCCTGCTACCATGCAGATGCCAAAACAAGTTGTCTGGCATGACTTCATAAAGTTACTGGCAGAAAGATCTTTGTGTTTTTCCAAGCTTAGATTTCTTTTTCATATAGGCTTTAGAGGGTGATTATCTTCAAGACTTGGTTTAATTCCTTTGGCAAGTTCTGAGATGAGAAGTTTGGGATAAAGCCTTAAGGAACCTAGTTTTTTACCATTACAAACAAATGTCAAGCTTTAACCATTGGATACTAAGGCTGTATTTTGTGTTTTTAAATGTACTAATTCTGACTTTAGTCAATGAAGAGGCTTATTTCTAGAATGCTCTCAATAGAGGCTAAGTGGCAGGAGTTTAACTAGTGCTTTTTCTCAAACTTAACTCTCCTTGTCCATGTATTCTCCATAGGGGAATATGGTAGATAGGCCTAAGTGCTAGGATAATTTTCAGCTTGCAATAGCTTTGCAGCTGTGGACAAATAGACTTCACTGCTTTTCTAACAGACCTGCAACTCTAGATTTGTAGACATCTAGAGCACTGTCCCCCTCACTCCTCTCCCATGCTGTCTACATAGGGACTAGTAAACCAACAAGCCCTATTCTGCATATCGTAGCAGGGTATCCTTTGTGCTTCAGGCTGCCTTAATGTAGGCTTCTTCGTTTAGTATGCAGCTTATCCTACTTGGTTTTCATATATGTACTTGTATGATGGATTTCTTAGGTTTAAGAACAAGTTACTGGTACTTCTGAACATTGCTAGTAAGTTTGGCTTTTGGCAACCTCAGACGTGATCACTGTGAATACATGAAGCACATGTTGCTTTCTACTGCCCCTGTTCAATCAAGTCTGGACAACTGCTTGGTGGACCCCTTTGTTTGAGACTTATTTCTTACTGGTAGATCTGGCAAAGCTTTTATGTATCTCTAGCTTGTATATGTTTAAGATATGAGGTAAGCATCTCAATTTCAGAGCTGGTTGTCCATCTGTGTAAGATGGATTTTTAAATTCCTAACTAAAGCAGTAGATGCTGTCACAGCAAGAAGTGTGAAGATACGACGAAACATGAATTCTAATCATTATACCATTTGTTGATAGTGAACATGACTGTAAATCACATAACGGATGGCTTTAAAAGACTTCATACTTTTGTAAGCTTTATCTGCCTGAATTGGAATCACCTCTACAGTACCAGCTACTTTAAAAGAAAACGTTTAGGTTTCTCCTGATATTTGTTATTCACAAAAAATACACAACTCAGACAATTCTCTTCCATACAGTAACTGAATATATGATCAAATTTATCCTATAGTGTTCTCATGTAGCACCTCCTTAGCTAGAACTATTGACTTTCATTGCGTTTCTAGTTGGAGCTGTGAACACAGCTCTAGCTAACCTCTTACAAAAAGGAATATAAGTACAATGGAACAGGTACTGTCAAAGTTTTCTGACTAGATGTGCCTCAAAATGTTAGTGCTGCACCTTCCATGTTAAGGCCAAGGCACAGCTGGAGCTGAACTTGGCAAGGGATGCAAAGAATAGTAAGAAGGGCTTCTACAGGTATGTCAGCCAGAAAAGGAAGGTCAAAGAAAGTGCACCCCCCTGATAAGCAAGACTGGCAAACTGGTAACAATGGACAAGGAAGACTGAGGTACTCAACAACTTCTTTGCCTCAGTCTTCACCGGCAACCTCTCTTCCCACACCTCTCAAGTGGATGGACTGTGAGGCAGGGACTGGAGGAGAAAAATCCCTCCCACTGTAAGAAAAGATCAGGTTTGGGACCACCTGAGGAACCTGAATGTACAGAAGCCTATGGATCCTGATGAGATGCATCCCAGAGTCCTGAGGGAATTGGCTGATGTAGTTGCAAAGCCACTCTCCATGATATTTGAAAAGTCATGGCAGCCAGGTGAAGTCCCTGGTGACTGGAAAAAGGGAAACATTGCACCCATCTTTAGAAAGGGTAGAAAGGAGGACCTGGGAACTACCAACCTGTCAGCTTCACCTCTGTTCCTGGGAAGATCATGGAACAGATCCTTCTAGAAGCTATGCTAAGGCACATGGAGGACAGGGAGGTGATTTGAGAGAGATTTGCTTCACCAGGGGCAAATCCTGCCTGATCAACCTAGTGGGCTTCTATGATGGAGTGACTACATCTGTGGACAAGGGAAGAGCTATGGATGTCATCTACGTGGACTTCTGTAAGGCCTTTGACACGGTCCCCCACAATATCCTTCTCTCTAAATGGGAGAGATATGGATTTGATGGGCAGACTGTTCAGTGGAAGAGGAATTTGTTGGATGGATGCATCCAGAGGGTAGTGGTTAACGGCTCAATGTCCAGATGGAAACTGGTGACAAATGGTGTCCCTCAGGGGTCTGTATTGGGACCAGTACTGTTTAATGTCTTCATCAATGACATAGTGGGATCCATTGCACCCTCAGCAAGTTTGCAGATGACACCAAGCTGTGTGGTGTGGTTGACAAGCCTGAGGGTTGGGATGCCATCCAGAGGGACCTAGACAAGTTCAAGATGTGGGCCCGTGTGAACCTCATGAGGTCCAACAAGGACAAGTGCAGGGTCCTACACCAGGGTCAGGGCAACCCCCAGGATCAATACAGGCTGGGGAATGAAGGGATTGAGAGCAGCCCTGCTGAGGAGGACTTAGGTGTACTGGTGGATGAAAAGTTGGACATGTGCCAGCAATGTGCACTCACAGAAGGCCAACCGTATCCTGGGCTGCGTCAAAAGGAAGTGTGGCCATCAGGTCAAGGGAGGTGATTCAGCCTCTCTCCTCTAATCTTGTGAGACCCCACCTGGAGTACTGCATCCAGCTCTGGAGTCCCCAACATAAGAAGGACATGGGCCTGTTGGAGCGGGCCCAGAGGAGGGCCACAAAAATGATCAGAGGGCTGGAGCACCTCTCCTATGAGAACAGGCTGAGAGATTTGAGGTTGTTCAGCTTGGCGAAGAGAAGGCTCTGGGGACACCTTATTGCAGCCTTTCAGTTCTTAAAGGGGGCTTATAAGAAAGATGCGGACAGACTTTTCAGCAAGACCTGTTGCAATAGGACAAGGGGTAACGGTTTTAAATTAAAAGAGGGTAGATTTAAAATAGATATAAGGAAGAAATTTTTTATGGTGAGGGTGGTGAAACACACAGGTTGCCCAGAGAGGTGGTCGATGCCCCATCCCTGGAAACATTCAAGGTCTGGTTAGATGGGGCTCTGAGCAACCTGATCTAATCGAAGATGTCTCTGCTTATTGCGGGGGGATTGGACTAGATGACCTTTA